AATATAATGACATTCATCATTGGAAATTTGCACCTTTACGTAATATATCTTGGTTCTTATTTTTTCCCCATTCCCCTGCCCTCCCTTCAACCCCTCCAGCCCTCCCCATTGACAAAGACTTTGTTTTCATTTTTTCTTTTTCTCATATTTATTCCATTCCCTTCTTTCTTTTCCCCTACCCCTCCTACTTCCCCTTCCCCTTTGCACCTTTTCTTCCTATTTCACATTATCTATTATACCTTTAAGTCCTTATTTACACTTTCAGTTTCTCACACTAGAGAAACTATTCAGTATTTACAATACAGTATTTACAGTATTTATTTCACTTCAGAGTATCACCTCAGTGTGCATCCATGTAGCTATAAATGTCTCTAGTTTCTTGTTCTTTATGGCTGAGTAATACTCCATTTTATTAAAAAAACACATTTTCTTTATCCATTCTCCAGTTGATAGGCAATTGGGTTGCTTCCAAATACCCTCACTGGAGAAAGATAGCCTCTTTAATAAATGGTGCTGGAAAAACTGGGTTTAAACTTGCCAAAGATTAAAACTAGACCTGTATCTCTCACCATGCACTAAACTAAAATCGAAATGGATGAAAGATCTAAATATTAAAAGAGAAACACTAAACCAGCTGGAAGAGAGTTTAGGTAGAACTCTTGAAGACATTGGTATAGAAAAAGATTTCATGAACTAAACCTCAGTTGCCTGTGAACTAGCACAAAAAATCAACAAGTGGGATCTCTTCTTATTAAAAAGCTTCTGCACAGCAAGAGAAACCACCAACCGTGTGAACAGACAACCCACAAAATGGGAAAAAATTTTCACCTGCTGTCCCTCTGACAAAGGTCTACTATCTAGAATATATAAAGAACTTTAAAAAATCAGACCTCCCAAATTTAAAGACCCAATCCAAAACTGGAATGAACAGACATTTCTCACACAAAGAAGTAGAAATAAAAAATAAACATATGAAAAAATGTTCAACATTTAAGAGATGCAAATGAAAACAACACTGAGATTCCATTTCACCCTAGAAAGAATGGCTGCTATCATGAAATCAACCAATAACAAAGGCTGGTGGGGCTGTGGGGAAAGAGGAACCCTGCTCCACTGCTGGTGGGAGTGTAGACTGGTGCAACCATTGTGGAAATCAG